TCAGACTAAAGGAACCAGCCTGTTAGGAAAATGTGAGAAGTAAGAAAGTACAGGTATTTGTGTTACAAAATGTAAGAAGTAAAAGTAAAAAGTCGTCAGAAAAATAAGTAGTGGAGTAAAGTACTGATACCAGAAAAATGTACTTGAGTAACGAAGTATCTGTACTCCACTACTTCCCACCTCTGCCTGAAGGACACCACAGATGGCTTGTAAAGGACTTTTCAAGCTCCTTTTAACACCCTTCTAATAGTAACCTGTGACCAAACTCACCTTGAACAGCCAGCAGCTGCTCGTCTGTGGTCCAGCGAGCGTTTACCTTCTGGTTACCCTGTAAAAACAACCACTGACATTTATCTAATGTGTACAACCAAAGAGGAATTACAGATTTAATTTTTGTTTTTGTTTTGATTTAATAGAGAAATAAATGTGTTCAATGTTTGGTGGTGTCAATGTACCTCAGCCATTTTGAAATCTTCAATCCCAGTCTCCAAACTGTGTTTCATGCCGCTGTTCATCTGTTTGGCGTTCTGCACCTGAAAAACGAGACAGAAACAAATCAGCTGAGCTTCAACAAAACTCACAAGTTTGACTCTCATTGATTCTCTGCTTTAAAGTGTAGCTTTAAAACCCTTTAAATGTAATTTGAATGCCTTTTATTCAACTTTCTTCAACTGTGTACTGATACCTGCAGGTATAACCAGTAGGGGGCAGCATACAGTAACATACAGGCACTGCACAGGACGACTCAGGGACTCACCTGGGGTCTTTCACCTGTGCTCCAACAGATTTAGCTAACTGGTTCATTGGCCGTTTGTTAATGTAGAGTAAAGCTGCTCCAGAGCCACTATTCCAAGCATACTACGTCATCGAGTGGCGCAGAATCACTGTTTAAATGCCCAGCAAACATGTGCTACCAAGCAAGCCTCCTCGACTTTGAGAAACGGCCACTGCTTGAGTTTAATGAATGAATCAATGAGCAGCAGACATGTTTCCTGTGATGATCTCTGACTGTCTGGTGAGTAACTCTGTCTGTCAATAACACATCTGTCTTAAAACGTATGCTCCTCATGAGCAGCAACATGCTAATGTTAGCATGCATTTTTTTATTCATGTTTATGTGGTCTGGTTCTTTTTTGTGAAATGATTTAAAGGGAATCTCAGGAGATGTTCCAGAGCTTCATCATATGTAGATTTTCACATGTACATTTCTTCTGGGCACTTTTTTCAAATTCATTATTTAACTAGGACAAACATTTCTTAATATGCTTAAAGAAAGACAGATGAACAATCCCAGGTTGACTGGTAAAACTGTACCTGCTGATTTGCTGAAGAACAACAGCAACTTTATTAATTGCTAAAATTGTTTTGTAAAATCAACAACATAATAAAAAATAAAAACGAATTGTCACACAGTAAGTCACACTGGATCCAACCTGGTCAAAAATAAACCCTTTCCATTCTGCTTCAGTTGCTTCATTCTTACCCTGTTGCTGTTAAACTACTGAATTTCCCCACGGGGATGAACTTATCTTATCTCTTATCTTATTGGGCGCCTCCTACCTGTCTCTTGAGGGACACCAGCTCCATGTCCAGCTGTCGGAGCAGGGTGTTTGCTGCGGAGGCGCTGCAGGACACGGCCCCCACGTCCTCCTGGGTCAGGTACATGCCTTTGGGGGGGCGGCAGCGGGAGCGCTGGTGGTGTCGGTGCTGCAGCGTCTGATGCTCTCGCCGACCCAACGCCACCTTAGAGCCCGGGACCACCGGCTCCACCTGGTTCTGCTGCGAGACACAGAGCGGCTCCATTAAACTGCAGCCTCCCCCTCCCTCTGGAACTCCCTTCCCAGTCACATCCGAAAGGCCAACACTCTTGAACCCTTCAACAAAATCTCTCAAAACTCACTTTATCACTCTAGCTTTCAAACTCCGATCAACAGCCCTTTTTACACAGAATTTTGAATATTTAACTAACAATATGTTGAACAATATGAGTATCCTTCCTGTTTAGTAACTAATGGACTATTTTAGTATTATTCCTTGACATGAGAACATTAAAAAAAATATGAGAAAAGTATTAAAGCCCCATCATAGTTTAACTTCCTGTCATGAGTGTGTCAGGTGTGTCTATTTGTCATGGCAACAGAAGCTCAGGTGTGTCCACGTACCTCTTTCTTGGCTTCCTTGTTGGGGTCGTAGTCGCTGTCGTGGGCTTCGATGGGAGCGGCCTCCTCCATCTCCTCCTCACTACGGTTACAACAAAAAGAAGTCAAACATAAGTAGGTACACTTTATTATAACAACAACATAAACACAGACAGCTTTGAACCAAAACTGAAAAAAGCCACACCAGAGAAGAAGAACAATTGTAAATCAGATGTTGTCAAATACTATTACTACGGTTTGAAGTATACAAAAATACACAATTTCATACCAAAAAAATGTACGTTTGATCATAATTTACAATTTCATGAAATCACAGAATTGTGTCAATGGCAACAAGTTCCTTTTGTACAAATAGACCTGAAGCATCAAAGCTTAATTCATAGATTTAAATAAAAAAATCACCACTGACAGTGAATACCTGTCGTCCTGGTTGCTCCGGTTGGCCAGTTTCCGAGCCTGCCGGTCCATCAGACTGGTTCTGGAGCGAGTCTTCTTCCACGAGTAGTAATACTTCACCAGACTGGAGATGGACTTATCCGGTAACTGAAGGAAACACGATCAAGTTTAACACTCTCAATCTCCATGTACAATCTAAAGAGGTCTCTCTCTTCAGAACAGAATTAAGTCGGCAGCAGCAGAACGCCTTAATAACCTACTTTTCAATGATGCCATTCTTTATATAGCCTTCCTTCGATTAGTTTTAAGCTCAATAGTAAACACAGATAATATTTGACCGGAATATCTCACATTTTTCCGGGACATTGAAATCTTCCTGGACACGTTGACCTGCAACACATATTTTTAAACGCTGGTAATAACTCTGTACTTCAGACCAAGTGTTTACCATCTGCTGGATGCGGTGGAAGCTCTTCCCGTGGAAGCTGAAGGCCTGCTCGAACAGAACCTTGTCCTCCACCGTCCACTCGTCTGGAAACGGGGTGAAGTTGGGCAGGTCGGCCAGAGACTTCTCTATGTTGTGTTTGTGCCAGAACAGCATGCCGAGCGCCTGAACACACAATAAATACACAATAAACACATCAGAACGTTTCTGCAACCCATCAGAGCAGTACCATCTAGTTCATCGTCACAATTATTATTAAACGTCAGAGGGATTATCAATGATTTATGTTCAGGGTGGCTTCACAAGGTGCTTCAGGATCAAATTAATTGTTCATCAAAAAGGAAGACGATGGCTGAAATGTTAATTAAAAGAACAATTAAATTCATAACTCAGTCATTTTTTATTTAGTTTATCATTTCACCGTTGGTTGATATTTTATGGAACACTTTGGGACCTAGGCCTGTGCAATAATTCAAAAATGATTGTGTTTCAGTACACTTGAAACATGGTGAATTCATATATCGAGGTATATTGCGTGAAATAAATTGAGGGAATATAATTTTAAGCCTTTTTTCAATCTATTTTTTTTCATCTAGCTCTACATTTCTTAATTAAATGACACATTGCCACATACTTATCATTTATCAATTATTTAATTCACACCAGAGGATTCAACATGAGGCTCTGCTGTGCTGGCGCTCACCTGCTCCACGTTGTATCCATGTTTCTCTTTAGCTAAAGCGATGTATTCGTCCACTGTGGAGGAAAACACACACCGTTAGAGTCTGATCTGAGGACCTGATAGAGGACTGTAGAAAATAGGAAGTTAACTTACATTTTGAGTCGATGATGTTGTGATATGGAGACCAAACCAGCATCCCCCCGCTGTCTTTATCCGTGTACTTAGTGGAACCTGTACACACATAAAAAACATCACATTCATGAAACTTTTTAAAGTCTAAAAAATACATTCAATTCAGTTTGCTCATCACCACTCGGCTAGTGAACACTTTGTAAAATATATTTTTATGCTTTGGTTGGGGCAGTTAAAATGTTTAAAAAAAACAACGTGTTGCATCGTGGGAAATGTAGTATCCCTTGTTTTGGGGGACTTGGGTTTGACCCATAATGCTCACATTTCTTTGGTTTCTGTCAAATAAAGTACTGCCAGTGTGATCAGGACATTTCCAGAATGATTGTATTGCTTCAATTTGAAATATGTTTTATACAAATACACAGAATACATTTTCATAATAAGAAATACATTATTTAGTCAAGGAATACTGATTGTACCTTTAACAAATATAATAAATGTAATATTTAGAGCATTGACATGTTCATGTTGACACTGTAAACGGGTCCAAAATCCACAAACTTAAATATGTAAATGTCCCAATTGTTAAAAAGCAAGGGATTCTTATAAGATCACTATTTTCTTTTCAGATTATTTTAAACAAAATTATATATCACTGTTGTTCACCTTCAGAACGTTGTCACGTGTCTGTGTTGACAGCTAAAGTAAAGTAATGAAAAACAAATATATAATAAGAAAAGCCATTTTTTGTAATTGTCAGTGCGGGAATGAAAATGTTAACTAACTGTCTTTTGTAAAAGTAGTAGTTGTTTTTTATTATTATTGTTATTACATTTTACCCAAGGCACTTTCATTTCACTCTGCTACACAACATATTATACAAGTATTAAGTATATAAGGTGGGAAAATAGAGAATAACAATGTAAACAAACCAGCTCAATCAAGCTTCAATAATTACAAATGTATAAATGTCACAAGTTGTCAGTGAGAAGTTGAGATATAGCCTCGGTTCATGTATCTGTCCTCAGGTTATAACACAGTTTAATAAAACTGATTTAATGAACAAACAGCTGATTTTAAGTGTTTTAACCGCCTTTTAAACGCACCAAAACACGCATGAAGCTGTGTATGTGTGTAGTTAAAGGCTGTGTGTACATGTTCGAGGCTACCAACGTCCGTCACTCAGGTTGAAAACAGTAAAAAAACTCACCGGGCTCAAACTCGGGAATGTTGGCCTGATAGTCTGCTCCAACCCGCATCCCAACATCTGGAGAAAAAACCTTATCAGCATTCACATTTTTTATTTTTTTGTTCAAAAACGCGCACATTACGGAGCGATAAAAGGCTGTTCGAGGCTATACTGACCGTGTTCGTCGTCGCTTCCACTTTCGTCAGAAAAATGTCCATTAGAAGCGTTGGATGGACTCTTGGTGCCGTTTGATCGACCTTTCCCCAAATACTCCGAGCCTTTATCCATCATCCCCGGCATTTTACCGATCAAATTGATCGTTTTAGAGCCTCTGTGTCTGGGTATAAAATGTCAGCAGGACCTGGAGGTTTTTCAGCTGCAGTTCCTTCAGCGGCCGCAGCGTCGTCCATGTCGCTGTCGAGGCATTTCTTATCTTTCACCGCCTTGCATACAGTCATTTCATGCTTTTAGAAGTCATAGATGACAAGAATAGGCTCTTCTTAATCTAAATATTTTAATGTATATAATTATTCATTTGAAGGTGATGTTTTTACCCGTTTAAAGTGGTTGCTGAGTGGGGTCTAACCACCATAGCGGAAGGCTTTTTACGCACCGTGGGGCAGTAGTGTGACTCCAGCTGCTGCGGCGCCTGACAGCAGATCCTTCCGCCGTCAAAAAAATAATAAACTGAAATAAAAAATGTAAACACAATTCCCATTTCAAACTGAAATTAAACAGTAAGAAAACGTAAAATAAAATCAACAAAAGCAAAATTGAGTCTCAATGATGTGAACATTAAAGAAAATGCACATAAACCAACATGTAAACATCATAATTTCATATGATAAGATCTCGGATGTTTTTTCACATTCAATATGCAGACATTATAAAACGTTGTGAACTAAAACTAGTTGAATGTGGATAATTCAGCGTGTTTTTTTTCTTCTATTCTGCTTGTTTAACTGTCCATGTCCCTGCACTGACGCTTAATGACCAGCAGGGGGAGACACAGTTCAACAATCAGCAGAGAAAACCTTCAATTGTATTTAACACTAAACTCCTGCAGACACTGTTTATTCTGTCAGGCATGGCCATGGGACAGATATTCAAACTCATTGTCATTGAAATGCTCATTAGATCAATTCTATATTATCTTTACAGGTACATATAACTCATAAAAACAAACATTACCAAACTTCTTCAGTTATGCAGGTAGTTGTTCCCGCTCAAAGTATTGGAAATAACGTATTTTTGTAAGTATCATATCTTTGTAAGAATGTATGCATTTAGAATAAGCCCCTTGAGATGAAAAAATACAAGAATATAAGCAATTTTTGTTTGCATTCATCAGAATATAACATTTTTAATATTCTATATTTAATCAAAGTATGTAGTGGAGTAGAATCATGATTTGAGCATGATGGTTTTAGATGGCTTTGTTAAGCAAAGTGCAGAAAGGACTGTCTGTAGCAGCGACAATAACGGTCAATATGTATCAGCTTTCACCGGTCATCTTTCAGCTGTTTAGCAAAGGAATAAAGCACACACAAAATATAAATACCCTCACACTGCCAAATGATGGGTATAGAACAGCGTTCAAAGGACCTACACAACTTGCCACCGACCATTGTTACTGATGTCGGTGCCTCTCTTGTGTTTCGAGTCGGTGCCTACACCTGTCGGCAAATTTAAAATGTTCAAATGTAAGCCCATGTCTAAATTACAAACGGGTGTGTTCACGACCTTCAAATCTACAGGCCCAATGACAACTAAACAATCATCCCGACAGAAGAATGATAGCTAATGTTTTGCTAACCGAATGCTAACAAAGCGGTGGCTTAGCATAAGTAATCTAGAAGTATATTTATAAATACTTTGACTTTTCATGTTTTAAATCTTATTCCCTCAGTGGTGGTTTGTGTTATGTAGTTCAGCAATTCTTTCTGACTTGGCTCCCTGGTCTCCTTCGTAAAGTTTCCATAGCGTAAATAAATTAAACTTAATCCTATGGCCTTTTTCGGTTGGTTTTATAACCAAAGACAGCCAACCACAAACAGTGCTTTCGTACCATGTTTAAAAATGCTGAATTCAAAGGGTTAACTGTTTTTTTGCTAGCCATAAGGATAAGTCAGCGGGTTTCAATCCCCGGGATCCTTCAAAGATGGCCGCCTTCCTGTGAATAGCGAATGGGAATGTGACGTCATCAACGCCAAGTCGTCCATCTTTGGAGGACACTAGCGAGCCGAGGAGCTGTAGATTTTTTAACTTTACACGTTTTAAACTTGGTTGGTAGGCACTGTTATGTCACCTTCTGTAACAACGACTGCTAAGACTAAGTATAAATATGTTGCGGTATCGGACATGAACATTTGTATTGAACTTCCCTATTGTCAATATTCAAATATGTTTTTATAAAGGTAGGTTTAGGGTTTTCCTTCCCTTTATACCTGTCTCCCTACATTCATCTACCTGTTCCCCTCCCTTTATCTACCTGTCTCCCTCCCTGTATCTACCTGTCTCGGGTAAGGAGGGAGGGAGACATTTACCTGTCTCTCTCTCTCTCTCTCTCTCTCTCTCTCTCTCTCTCTCTCTCTCTCTCTCTCTCTCTCTCTCTCTCTCTCCCTCCTTCACTCCCTCACAGTGGCTCGTGCTGCAACCATCTGCCAATAACAAGCCTGCTGAGACAGAGAGAGAGCGCGTGAGTGAGAGAGCGAGCCACATACTCCACGGCGCGCGGGGCTCGTGCAGCATGTCAGAGATGTGAAGCGGCGGGAAGCAGCATGGCGGGAGGACGGCGGGGTCTCGTGGCCCCTCAGAACACGTTCCTGGAGAACATCGTCCGTCGGTCCAACGGTAAGGTTCCGGTGCTGTCCGTTTACATTTGTTTAAACGGTGATAACGTGATTGTTGTGTGGAATGTCTCGTGGTGGTGTGCGGTTGGTTCATCATCAGAAAGCTCTACTCTGATTGGCTCTTAACATTCCAGAATGTTGCATGTGTCCAGGTAGTTACCTCAATCGCAAGCTAACAGTAAGCTGTAGTTACATCACTTAATGTAGAGGTGTTTGTCTTAATTACAGCTGCTCAGTCAAATCAACCAATGTATATCACTTGTATTCATTTCCACATTGCATGTACGTTTTATGTTGTTAACAGGAATAGAGCTACATTTTATTTAAACTGAAATGTACATTAATATTAAAATAAATAAACCCTAGAACTTATATTACAACTTATAAGATAAGATAGACCTTTATTGATATAGAAATTCAAGTGTTATTGCAGGAACATAGTAAGAGAGAAAGATGGTACACATGGGAATATACACAGTAATTATAAGGATTCTTTTTTATTTCAATAACAAAATATCAAGAAACATGTAGTAAAAGTATGAATAGAAATAACAAAAACACCTTGTCTACCCTTTATGCTACTTCATATACTTATCCAATGTTTACAATTTTATTTAAACACTAAACGGTATGTTATTTAATTTGAAATACATCTTTATATTCAAAATGTTATTTATCTTGATCTTTCAAAAGTTATTTAATTGGCTTTACACCCTATATTCACTTCACAACCCAAATTCTACATTTATTTTGTACAACTAACAATTTGTATACATTTAACTTCATATTTGAATGTTAAATGTACTTGCATATTCAGATATTTACCCTCATTTCTAGAAAGCTATTCAATTATGAGTTGGATAATGTATTTGGAAGTGATCCTTTTATAAAACGATTAATTGCTGAATATCAATAGATTGATTGATATTTAATTGAATCCCTATTTCACTTTAATATAAAAACGTATTAGTGTACACTCTCCTGTCATAAATATTATACACATGAATCTGTTCGTTCAGCAGCAGGAAATATATAGAGGGAATCCAAACGTACTCTACTGTTTACCTTCAAATAGGTCACTGTGTACTTCTGGATACAACGATACAACATGTTTTAATATTACAATTAACTTGATATATGGCTGCAACAATGATATTTAAAACTAACTTTGCTCTATTTCAGGCTCCCTATCTTAGTCTCATCTCTGTTGTCACTGTTTCGTCTGTTTCTGCTCCTTTAACGCACTTATCTTTTCAACTTTTCAGTTTGGACATTATCACATAGACAGACAGGTACAGACCAGAGTTTCCACATACTGTCGTGTAGATGTATCCATCCCCTTCCGCTGACCTGTGATGTATATATACACTTATATATTACATATATACAGCATATATTTATTATATATACAAAGTATATACCGTATATATATACTGTATATAACACACACACACACACACACACACACACACACACACACACACACACACACACACACACACACACACACACACACACACACACACACATTTAGAGTTTATGCTCTGTTTTAAATGTATCATCCAGACGGTGAACCTCCTGCCCTTTGTGTGATTCATAAATTCAGCATCCATTTTACTGCTTTTTCTGACAGTTGAGTCTCTTGAATGTTACATCTCTAACTCTAACTCTTTCTCCTGGCTTGTGACCAAATGTTTCTCCTTAAATGTACCTGACATTATGGCTGTAGGATATGAAGACACATACAACATGTTATTGAATACTGATAAACATATTACATGCACTCCCATTTTCCTTGTTTCTTTATCACAAGATATTACTTTTGATGAATTTACAGATATTAAAGTGTACTCAGATCTGCCTTTTTGCTGATTTCAGTAATCCTAAATTGCGTGTTAAATACAAAAATAAATATTTTTTCAACATTCTTTAATTAAACATTGAATTGAACACAAAAGGCACCCAAACAATTATAATAATAGTGCAGTTCCCTACTGACACCCTCTTCCGACTAACTAAAAAAGTGTATTTTGAGATGTGTCTATTGAACAGGTTGACATCTAAAGTTGACAATTAAAAAAATAATCTATCGTGCAGCCCAACACGCCATTATTCCAGCAGCAAACCAGCATTTCTTATTTTCTGGAGTTACCTGGCTAATGTGAAAATAATGAACATCCCGAAGCTCAAACTACACCCTTCAGATAACCATATGTTTGAATCAACTCCTCTATTAGACAGTGTTAATACACAGTATAACATTCTTAAATATGCAGAGGGGATTGTAATAGATACTAGAGGTGAACCCAATCCTGCTATCTCAGTAGAATCTATTACACTGATTGTTTGAATTACAAATATCCAACGTATGAGATTGTTTCTCATCATGGTAATTTACCGTGAAACCCCATTGACTCCACATTAGGCCACAGAATTAAAGTTAAGCGACTCTGCTCTAAGGCTGTGTTTAAATGTGACATCAGCACAATAAATCGCAGCCTCATCAGTGGCTTCGATGACACGGTCAGCAGAGAAGCAGACCTCAGCCAATTAAAAAAGGGCAAGGGCACATTAGATGATGTTTAAAATGCATGGTGTTTATAGAGTGCTGCAGGAAGGAGTCCTAAAACCCGGACATGATGGAGCATTTCTTCACTTCCTGTTCCCTCGTCTCAATGTCAGTGGGTTCTTTCAATAGGATTTTTATCAGATCCTAAAAATAGGGTTGGCGGTTGGTCCTAAATGCTCTAAACGTTAATATTTAACATTATGAGTCAAACATGCGGTTGCTAAAAGATACTGCAGATGTTCTTGGGAATTTTTAAATACATAGCATTTAAGCTTAAAAAATCACAAGTAGTGTTCACTTGTTAAGATACATACTGTAGGATAAGATGTAATGTTGAAAAAACAGTTGAAAAATTACAAATAAATCAAAAATCTAGCTACAAGTAAAATACATATTGATAGCGAAAGATTTATATATCTGTGTAAGGATTTATATTTCCTGTTTGTTGGCCACAGAGCACATTTTTTTCACAAAATAATCAAAAATGCAACGGAAAAAGCCCATTGGTTCAATGCAGTTAAAGGCATACGTTTGGGTAGGTGTACAAAAATACGTCAACCTCCTTGCAGCACTCTATTCAATGTTTACCTTACCTGGCCATCATGGAGGACAATACTGCTGATACTGCAGAGTTTTCAGGGTATATAAGCCTTTTTAATCATGGAGATGTTGCTCAAACTTGACTTTGTGGATCATATTTTATAGCCTGTTGTTTTTTTTTTGCTCGTGGCAGCAATCCAGAGATGATACTCTCTATCAGTCTTATTCAGAGTTCATATTCCTCTCGGGATGAATAGTAAAAACGTCCTCTTACTTTAACGTGTCCAATACTTTAGTTAACGAATATCCTTAACATTAATGACATCAACCTTAGCTGTGAAACATACCAGAGTAAACATCAGCATGTTAGCATTGTAACTGAGAGGATGTTGGCAAGTTGATGTCGGGTCGGCTTATATCCTAAAGACACACGCACAGACAATAGAAAAACAACAAATGTATCTCTGTCCGTCAGGCATCTTCCTTCTGTTAAACTCTTTCCGTTAAATGAGCACTCCATGGATGTCGGATTAGCCTCAATTATGCTGCTGTTTAATTCAGCGTAACGATAACCTATGGCTGAACAATGGATTAATTTCACATTATGCTGCTCACCCCAATTCACCCCCAATGAATGAAGTAACAAAGGAGGAATTCAAGCCTTAAACTCAGAAGAGCTGCTGGCACTGATAGGCTGCAGTGTCCATTAAACCACACAGTTAGAAACATTCGTCCTGATTTGTTTAAACGTACATTTTGGCCATATGACACATTTCACTTTTTTTTTTAAATGAATTTATTTTCCACAAAATCAATATGATTTAGGTTTATTTGTCGTGACTGTGTTGTGTGTGTTTCATACGGTAAAAATAAATCTCCATCCTGAAGTAGGTGACATGAACTTGTATTTTGCATTGGGGGAAGTGGTGTAGTTAAAGTCCTCGGAGGTTCTCCAGCAGAACGTTAAAGCCTGCAGGCTGCACTCCAGCTCTCACCATATCCTGCTCTTCTGGGATTCAACTCAGGCATTTGTTTGAAACATTTAAGTTTAAGCGTAAAGTATTCATGAAGTCTTACCTGAATGTGGAAGTGATGGTCTTTGGGGTATTATAATGCAAACATAGGAAAACACAACACAAGTGGTACACAGGAAAAAGTCAGGTTTAGGTTCATAACATTCATAACAGCTGAATGACTACTAAGAACATCTGCTAGGTAGCTTTGGACAAAAGTCTCATCATGTTGAAGGAAAAGCAGGTGAAATACTCAAAACGCTGATGTCTTGCTGTCAAATCTTGCTCCATAATAATACAACACATTGATATTAATCTTTAAAGGTTTAATCTGATAGTAAAGGTCCAACATGTCCATCATATCTCATTCTAAGTGGCTACAACTGTATCTCAAAGCTTCATAAACGTGTTGGCTTGCACTTGAAAAATGGGAGAAAAACAAGCATAATTTCTGTATGGAAAAAAACAGCATTAAGAAATAAATAGCCTTATGTGTACATTTGTAAAACATATGTTATTTTCCTTTTAAGTAAACACAACATATGACATCCCACCTCATTCCCTGTTTTCACGAAATACCTGTATTTATTTTCGTACTTCAAAATCTATGCAATCAAAATCCCAAATCGCACTAATATAGTAAGTTGGAAAAAAGTGTCTTAAATACATTTGGGTACATTAATGATATGTATTATAAGCTGCTTTACATTAACAAGTCAAAAGTGGTCAAAGGTAAAATATCAGACATTTTAAATGCATTCAAAAGACAGCTATGGTAAAAAGAGACAATACAATTGCACCAAACCAAAATTGATTCTTAAATTACCACAGCGTTGAAAAGAAAACATTGATCGGTTACTTTTGCTAATATACTTAGTCGCTTTTTCCGAAATCCACTTTTCCCATCGGCATAAGTTACATCCATCACACGGCAATTATTTATAATAAAAGCTCTCCTTATGCATGCTCCTGATGGGAATAAAACACACACACACACACACACTGCTGTAAATGTGCGTGTTTGTGTGAGTTGCTGCTGGTGGGTTGTGATTGTCTGTTCGTGTGTCTATACCTACAATACATCACAAACACTGAGAGACTTTGTTTTTTTTACCATGGTGTAAACAAACCTTCTAGTTCACACCTGATCAGCTACGTGGATGGATAGGTCTGTAGAAAGAAAGAAAGATAAATACGCAATATTTATCTGTGTAAGGGATGTATGATTCTGGCTCAAATAACAATTATGATTTGTTTCATATTAAGGCGGGATTATTGATCCCAGTTTCCTATAGTCTTTTAGAACAAAATTGAATCTATGTTTCTAACACTCAAACTTGCAAAAAGTTAAGTTGCTAAACAGCTGACTTTGTGTAAAAGGGGTAATTAATAAATGTCTAAATAATGATTAATATACCATTAACTGTAACGTTGCAACAGTTGGGTGATACTTTCAATTGTCTATCACCAGAACATTCATTGGCAATCAATTTTACACGAATCAATCAACTGTTACATTTAATCTAAACAGGTTTCAGCTTCTGAAAGTTAATCTGTTCTTGTTTTCTTACTGTTCGATAACTTTTTGTTGGACAAAACAAGGAAAGAAATCATAAGAAAAGGTCCCAATAGACTGCAAGGAAGCTTTGATTTTGTATTTATATTATGGCCCAAATGATTAGGAGATAATCGGTAGACTAATCTATAATAAAAATAATTGTTAGTTGCAGCCTTAATCAACAGTGCAGCCCCACCATGGTTCTAAAGTTGTGAGCCCATGCACTTAATGGGGATAAGTTAAATCTGCTGTTTCTGTGGTCAGATACAAACTTCGTGCTGGGGAACGCTCAGATCGTGGACTGGCCGATCGTCTACAGCAACGACGGCTTCTGCAAACTGTCCGGGTACCATCGGGCCGAGGTGATGCAGAAGAGCAGCACCTGCAGGTACAGCCATTTTATGTTTCAAATATTTGTATTGAGAAGAAGCATACAAGTGTAAGCAATAGTACAGACTTCTTTGGGGTGGAAAACATGCTTCCCCTTTTCAACATAGAAGACAAACAGAACAGCCAACAAGAAATAATAGAGAAAAAACATAGCATGACAGGAATACCATACTTAAAGACATACAGAGTCAAAGTGGGAAAGAACATACAAAACACTCCTGCCATTTTATAATATGTTTCTTAATGCTCCTAATGTCTTTCATTTCTGTAAAGCACTTTGAATTGCCTTGTGTTGAAAGGTGCTATATAAATAAACTTGCCTTGCACACGCTGATGTTAAACCAGAGGGATGGAGAGTTTATCACTACTGTGTGTTTTTACTTCTCCTCCCGCAGCTTCATGTACGGAGAGCTGACGGACAAGGACATGGCGGACAAAGTGCGGCAGACCTTTGAGAGCTACGAGATGAACTCTTTTGAGATTCTGATGTACAAGAAAAACCGTGAGTACTTCATGTTTTTTTAACAATACAAATTACAATGCAAATGTACCCCTGAACCCCCAAAGAACCAGAATTAAAATGTTTCTTGCTTCACAGCAGCTCCATTTACAGACAAGAATGAAACAAGAATACATACAACATTGAACTATTACAATACAATCATTGAGGAAAATATGTTCTAGTCCCTACCACCTACTTTAGAGATGAGATTAAGTTCCATATTTAATTTTCCTATTGACCGGTGCACAAAGAGTCTGACCCTAAAAATATGGCAGAACCCTGTTTTCTCAGGTAACAATAGCCGCGTTCACACCGCAGTACTTTTCCCACTTTATTTCCGATATAGTTCCGAAAGGTCGCGTTCACACCAAAAAGAGCCGGAACTAAATTAGTTCATGAGAACCTTTTTACCCCCTTTTCAGTCCCTGCTAGAGAGCAGGTACTTCCGTGGGAGAAAAAGGTTCCTGTTTCTGATTGGCTGGGCGGAATGAAAACCACACCCCGTAAAACTCCCAAAAAGTTTTGTGAAGACGCCATTTTATTATCCTAGCATTAGCATGATTAGCATTAGCATTATTAGCATTATTAGTATTAGCCCAGCGCAGAAACGCAGAAAGACTAACTTATGGCAATACAAAACAAAACATGGGAGCGGTGGAGTGATGAGGAGGTGTCGGCGTTCTGGCGATTTACTCTGAAGGCTTCAGTAGAAGCTGCTAGGAGTCCCAGCAGCTTCTACTGAAGCCAGTCCCCAACTCCGGGGACTTCCGGCCGGGGACTCCGGGTGGCAGTATACGCCGTGAAGTTGTTTGCAGCCTGCCAGTAAACCCAAAGCAGAAGAAGAAGAAGTGACGTCAGCGGCTTCATTTGCCCTCAGGGAACTTATTCCGGTGTGAACGCGATCTGTAGTAGTTCATGAGAACTAAAGAGTTCTCATGAACTAAGTTCTCATGAACCTTTGTGGGAAAAGTACGGTGTGCGGTGTGAATGTGCCTAATTTTTCATTTATTCTTTGAGGAGTCCTATTATGGTTTCCAAAGTTTTCCCTGATACATAGTATGAAACCTGTTAATGATAATACTATTATGTGTCTTCTTTAAGGACATATTTGGGGACAAAGACAGTGTTATTGTCCTGTGTTAGTATTTGTTTGGGTAGGTTGATTCATAGTTTCTCAAGAAGTTGACCTATAACTTTTAATCAGATTGGTGGTTTTGATTTGTGGTGAGTAAACACAGACGAGTACATTTCAACATTGGGCTTGTAAATCAAGCAACTGTCTTGGAAAGTAAATGGGCATGTGGTAGAAACAATTCAAAGACCCTATTTGTTCCAGTCCTGATAATGGATGTAGCGTAATGAGTGAGCCATCTCACGTCCTAGCTGCACAGGCAAGGAGCTAGACTAATTCAACATGACAAATAACTTAAGTTTTAGTTGTAATATAATTTCCCTTTGGGCAAGTGGATTTCTTATTGCCTTTAAAACCTTGAACCCTGGACTCGCCCCAAAGGACTTAAGCCAGCAGGAAAATGATTCTGTTTGTTCTTTTGCAGACAGATTCAAAGTGGTCTCCGGGTAGCAGATGGTCTATCATAACACCCACGTATTTGTATGAAGATACCTACTTGATATTATCATTACGGATAACAAAAGGAGCGTCAGGTGGTGAAACAAATACAATTTCCTCTATTTTCTTTGTCTTAATCTCAAGAGCTTTACGCTCAGTTGGCAGCCTCTCAACGAAAGAGACAGAGAAAGATGTCTATTGAATATAATAAGCCTCTCAGTTTCACTCATTTAGTGCAGATTTCTTTGTTAAAGGAGAACAATACCACGCGAAGAACAAGCAGCTACTTTTATCAGACTTAACAAGACTGTTCAGTTTCACAGTGACATGAAAATAGCTAGTTCCAAAACTGCCAAATGGCTGCCTTTAACAAAGCCCCCTTTTATCCAAAGTGCTTTTTTCCCTTGTGATTGGAGTGTCGATGTGACATATGGAAAGGTGTACTTGTTATTCCCCGGCTTTTTATTCCCTAGCAAGCGACACAGGAGAGTAATGGGGAGGAAAAACAAAGACCCTGTTTAATATTTAATGCTTGACTCCCTCAACACTTTGGCCACATGAGTACAATCATTTATGTACATATATATTATATTTATATTCATACTTTTCACGTTATTGTTAAAAAGCTTCCACTGAAACCCAAACTCTGAAAGTTCAGTAGTTTTTTGAGAGCAGTATGAGGTTGTTTTTGAGTCAGAACCAAAAGAAGGTGTTTTACTGAGTTCTACATCAGTGTTCACAGGTGGTGCTACACCCGACTGGCACAGGGACAAATGTGTATGTGTGGTTTTCGCTTCAGTTCACACTGGCACACAATATTACACATGCTGTGCGGATACAAAACAAGATGCTGTGTGTACCAACAGCGCTGTAAACAAAACAGTCACACTTTCAAATTGCTTATACAACACTGAAAAACTATTAATGATTGAACATTTAGTGCAGCTTCTCCACCAGTTGCTGATGTTTGATTATCAGCTTTTCTATGTCAAACTGAAGTCTTCAGTCCACTTAACAGGGTTCGTCCTTACACACTCACAGCCAATTAAAACACGGCAAAGGAGAAACAAAACTGCTTCAAAATGACTGTTAACACTTAATGTACCAATTGGAGATTGGATTGGACCAGTTAAGAGACAGAGGACATCCGTTCTGCCATTTAATTCAGAGACCGAGAAAACCAAGAGCCCCTGTTATTGGGTGTAGTTTGCTAAAGAAAATAGTTCCTACACGAAACCCCTCTCAGAAACTCTGTGGATTATCCTGAGTAGCCGGGTCATGATTTTATGAAAAGAAATCCTGGTGAGTTCTTTTCTTATGTATTTCTTGGTTGAGTGCCATCTACTTCCATTATACTGGAGAGAAGGCAGACATCTGTATGGCCAACATCTCAAACACTCTGCAACTCAAACGATATCATCTGTTGATGAATAGCACTACAGGAAATAGGAAAACGATGTACTTTCCATTTTGGGTTTTCTCCCCCTGTCCTATCATGGATGTTTTGATTGGAAGTGAGACAAATGTATGAAGTCTGAATGGGGTTTTGACTCATTTAGAGCTGCCCTGTCAATGGTGTAAATTGGATTGTTGACACTTTAAACACCTTCTCAATACACAAAATAGATTCAGCAGCTCAAGGTGAAACGGTTCATTCTCACTTTCAGGTGAGTGTGTTGAGTTTTGATGGAAACATTTAGTCTGACTTCCTTTGTGTGTGTGTGTGTGTGTGTGTGTGTGTGTGTGTGTGTGTGTGTGTGTGTGTGTGTGTGTGTGTGTGTGTGTGTGTGTGTGTGTGTGTGTGTGTGTGTGTGTGCGCAGGGATGCCAGTCTGGTTTTTCATGAAGATTGCTCCAATCAGGAACGAGCAGGATAAAGTGGTCCTGTTTCTCTGCACCTTCAGTGACATCACCGCCTTCAAGCAGCCAATCGAGGACGACTCTTCAAAAGGTGGGTGGGGCTAGAAACGACTGAAACTATGACAATAATCAACTACAATTCTTAGGCACTGTTAGTGTCTTTGTTCACACACTGATTAACTGCGCTAGACATATTAGAGAAGAAGAATGTTCTAAATATTTAGCTGCAAAACTGTCAGTACAAACCTCTGAAAAACAAAACATTGGTCATATCTAAATCTCCTCTTAAAGCTTTGAAAACAAGGTAATAGGACCAGCCGGTTTTCACTGGGTTTGATCAATATCGTGAGACAGTCATAACGCATAAATAGATTTTTATAAGAAACCTAAGAGGGAGTTGTTTTAAGGAGAACAATTGGTGTTTGTTGATCCCTGTGGGCTAGCTTTAGGTTTTTTTGTGGCTTTCCAGAAAACACAATAATTTCTCAGTGAGGTACTCAGATGAGTACCTGGAGTCAGTGTTTGGTACTCCAACTTCTGGCTCCACTCAAAGTTATTTGATGAAGCCCTCTGTATCGCGATCGTCAACGGGGGGGGGTTGCTAGTGGAGTACTT